GCATGTGGTCAGTAACATTTAAAGCGCTACTCTCCTCTTGTCTGTATATACCAGCTTTACGACCTATGCCATACACCCGCACCAGCGTGGATGTCAAATTGACTGAAGCGATTTCCTACTCTCGCCTTCTAACCGTGGCAAGACTAGGTCAAGAAAAGTAGAAACTGTGTTTTGGTCGATATATAAAGGCGCGTCTATAATCCGGCAGTTAGCCGTGATATAGAAAGATACCCAAGCCACACGGTAGCAAGGACAATCAATTAGGAAGGGCTAGACTGTCACTAGCCCGGCTAGTGACAATGGTGCATGAGCTCCGAAGCCTCCGGAAAGCCTTATTGGCCACTTTCTCCACGAGTGGATCCGGATGTTGTTGTGAAAACGCCACGAAGTTGCTTTGTTTCAACAACTAGACTGCGCGGAGCATAGCCTCCGTAATTACAGTGATTTCTTCTGCGAAAACAAGGCCGGCAGGATGTAGTGTATATGTCAGGATATTGGGCTGAGAGCCTACTTAAATAAGAAAAGTGTAGGAGGGAGAAAGCCCGATGCTAGATGAAGCTAATGTCAACTATGAGTAAAGAATGAGCTCTAAGCTTATCAGATTGGCTCCTAGCGGGGCTATTGAAGCAGGCGCTCATAAGCTAGCACGGCCGTTGTTAAGCCCACTTCTAGATTGACTCAGGCCAGTTTCTATATAACTCAGGCCGATTTCTATACATCGTTTCCCCCTGCGACAGCATTATAAGTCTTTCCCTCACACTTCCGCGCCCTAATTTCATCAATTCGCAACTCAGCTACAAGGCAAATCACATATTTTATCAACATCATCAGTACTGTTGCCGATAGATTGCAGTTCTTAAAAGTCATCGACAATTTAGGAACATCACAACCAGTCAACACCATGTGCGCTGCCTCAGATAGGGCCGGCCCCACCTCTCCTTCTGTCCCTTCCACTCCAACTTCATCGCCCGTAAGCTCCGCGTCTTCCTCGTCTTTAGCATCGTCTTGCTTTGAAGATATACAGGAGTTCAAATCCGTCATTATCGTGGGCGCTGGAGCGTTTGGTGCCGCCACTGCCTACACCTTGGCGAGCAGAGGCATCCAGGTGGCTCTAGTAGACACAGCCCAGTTTCCGAGCCCGAGAGCTGCATCGCACGATATTGCAAAAATTGTCAGGGACGATTATCCAGATCTGCTTTACATGCGAATGATGGCTAAAGCTATGCCTAAGTGGAGGAATCATGCCCTATATAAGGAATGGTATCATGAAACTGGCATGCTTCGGGCAGATCCGACTAACTTTGGTGAGAGAAGCCTGGCAGCCTACCAGATTCTTGGAATCAAAAGCCAATCTGAGATACTGTCTGTCGGTTCTATTCGCAAGCGGTGGAACGGCGTCCTTGCTACAGCAGACTTTGAAGGAGCCTCTTCGATCCTTTACAACCCAGCTACGGGGTTTGCTGAGGCAGACAAAGCCCTTGCTGCAGTCGTGCAGGCAGCTATTGATCATGGTGTTGAGTATACTGTCGGGGAAATGGAAAAACTTGTTCTTGACGCAAACAAGGAATGTACCGGAGTGGCCCTTAAATGTGGTCAGATGCTGACCGCCGATAGGGTACTGATGTGCACAGGCGCATGGACAGAACCCCTACTTGTCCAGAGTAATCCAGACGACAAGAATCTGCATGCTAACGGCAGGCTAGTGGCTATGGGCGCCCTCAGCTTCTACGCCACACTACAAGGCGCGCAGAGACACAAGTTCGAGCGGATTCCGGTACTGAAAAATTGTCTGCCACACGTCATGGGTGAATCATTCTCTTATAACAACTATATCATAGGTGTTCCATGCTAATGTACTAGTATCTTGCTAGGAGAAGGAATGTCCACGCTTCAGGATGGGACAGCCAAGTTTAACTGCGACATGTGCTTTACCAACTATGTGAATTTCGCTGCAATCGGAAAGCAAATGTCAATCCCCCCCGACGATGGTCAATATAACATGTGGACTGGGGTAAGAGTGGCCCAGTTCTTCCAAGAGAAAGCCAAAAATGCTCTCCGAGGACTATACGGACAAGAAGTCGACAAGACATTCATTAAAGGCTACCGCTTGTGCTGGTAAGACTTGGTCGCATCCTTAAATCGCTGAATAGTACTAAACTGGCGCTACCAGGGACGCAGTTACGCCAACACATGATTTTCTTATTACCTCTCACCCTTACTATCCGGGACTATATGTTGCCACCGGTGGTTCATTTCATGGATGGAAGTTTTTGCCAGTAATTGGTGATTACATTGCGGACATGATGCAAGGCAGCCTAGAGGATGAATACAGGCTTAGATGGTCATGGGACAGAAAAAGCGGTGACTGGCCAAGTGCAAATCCTACCTACTCAGTTGTCGGAGACCTGCAGGATTGGATCTCTTAATGTGCGCGGTGTCAGACTGAATGAATTTAAGGGAAAAGTCTTGCAAGAAAAATGTGAACTGGCTAAACAATCGAGAAAGCAAGAAGGCGTAGTTTGGAAGCTACGCTGGAATGCACGGTTTAAAAGTTAATCAATGGATAGAGATGAATGTGATTGAGCGTTTTCCGGAGACGACGAAGATTTCAGGCTAGAAACAGGCAGCAAATGCCTTTGCAGATCCCATCTGCCTGCTATCGTGCTGCGTGATGGAGCACGAACTGGTGAGACTCCGGGCGCGCTCCGTCACGCTGATCGGAACGGCGGTACGATCATCCGCAGAGCATAGCTAGCACGTCTCTTTGCTTAACCTAGAGCTACACCACAGACGTCAAATAATCAATCAATCAATCAATCAACCAAGAAACTGTTCCATCTTTCAACTACATCACAAGTTATACTCTACCTTGCGTTTTATACCAGAAAGATAGCGGGATAAATTATAATAAACTCGCAAAAGTTCCTGAACCGCACGCCCAATGGCGTGGCGCCTGCGCCACCAGATGCCGCTAAAGCTGGCGATGCGCCGGACGTGACACCTCCATGAGCCCAATCTTATTGGATAGCCCGCAGAGATTGATCACCCGCGACAGCATCCCAGCTTGCACCCGGCCCTTCACCGGGAGCGACAGCCCAATTCGGCAGCCGTCTATACGGCCTACAGCCGAAGCAATTGCTTAACGATAACCCTTCCGCGCCACTCGCAACAAGGAACAACAAGAGGGCTCTTATCCGCCTACTGAAGGACTCAGCATCCTTTTACCAAGCTCTCTAGATCCAATCTGCAATCCGCCCCAAGTTACACCTGCAGCTAACAGATCTCCCAAACATAAAAGAGACCAACACGGGGTTTGCCTTGACACCGCGCACTGTAGAAATCCAGCAGAAAAATCTGCAGAACCAGCAACAAAGGGGACCCTTGTAGGGCTCGGGATTGCAGAAAAAGATATCGAATGGCACACCTATATTTTTAAGAATTTTCCAAGGACGATCACCTTGTGGGACGGCATGGAACTAGAATACGAATCTACTGTTGAGGAAGCCATTGAGCAGGACTTTATCAGATTGTATATCTGTTCTTGAGGGTGATGCAGTTAGGTACCTGCTGTCGACCAGAAGGAAGGCTCGTCCCCAGAGATGATTATTAGAATACTTCGGACGGCTAGAAGTAGCAAAGATGCGTGATTCGAATCATCTCGCAGGTGAGGTGACTCTTCTCTAAAACAAGTGGACCTCGCATAGGTTACTCCGAAGCTTTGTTATTCACTCGTTCGAAGTCGGTCCAGATGCTACAATACAATAGTGTGCAGCGTTAGTTGTGGTCGCGTATGGGAGGGCGCTCAATTAGCAGCGTAGAGGTCGTAGGTGCACATTAAGATAGCCCCGTCGCGTGCAAAGCT